TAAGAATACACATGTAGTAGTTTAAAATTTCCATATGAATACACCTGTAGTCTTTTACAATCTCAATATGAATGCACCTGTAGTGCTTTAGAATCTTCATATGAATACACCTGTAGTGTTTACAATCTCCATATGAATACACTTGTATTGATTTACAAGCTCCATATGAATATAGTGTTTTACAATCTCCATATGAATATACCTGTGGTATTTTGCAATCAACCAATGAAGCAACTGTAGTGTTTACAATCTCCACATGAATACACTTGTTGGGATTTACAATCTCCATATGAATACAGCTGTGGTGTTTACAATCTCCATATGAATACACTTGTAGTGTTTTAATCTCCATAAGAATACACCTGTAGTGGTTCGCAATCTCCATATGAATACAATTGTAGTCTTTTACAATATCAATATGATTACACGTGTATTGCTTTACAATCTTCAGATGATTACATCTATCGTGCTTACAATCTCCATATGAATACATCTGTAGTAGATTACAATCTTCATATAAATACACCTGCGGTGTTATACAATCTCCATATAAATACACCTGTAGTGATTTACAGTCTCCATATGAATTCACCTGTAGTGATTCACAATTTCCATATGAATACACCTGTAGTGTTTACAATCTCCATATGAATACACTGGCAGTGATTTACAATCTCCATATAAACACACCTGTCGTGTTTTACAATCTTCATATGAATAACCTGTGGTATTTTACAGTCTCCATATGATTACCCGTGTAGTGCTTTACAATCTTCATATATTACACACGTAGTGCTTTACAATCTCCATATGAATACACCTGTTTTTTTTACAATCTTCATATGAATACACCAGTAGCGTTTTTAAATCTCTGTATGGTTACACTTGTAGTGCTTTATAATCTTCATATGAATGCACCTGTGGTGTTTTACAATCTCGATATGGATACACATGCAGTGATTTACAAGCTCCAAATGAAAAGCTCCATATGAATATAGTATTTTATAGTCTCCATGTGAATATACCCGAGGTGTTTTACAATCAACATATGAAACACCTGAAGTGATTTACAATCTCCATATAAATTCAGTGTTTTTCAATCTCCATATGAATACACCTGTGGTATTTACAATTTCGATATGAATACACTTGTTGTGTTTAAATCTCCATATGAATACACCTGTAGTAGTTTACAATCTCCATATGAATACATCTGTAGTAGTTTACAATCTCTATAAGAATACACCTATGGTGTTTTGCAATCTTCATATGAATATACCTGTATTGTTTTACAATCTCCATAAGAATACACCTGTAATGGTTTAGAATCCCCATTTGAATAAACACCTGTATTGGTTTACAATTTCCATATGAATATTCCTGTAGGGGAGTACAATCGCCATATGAATACACCTGTAGTGGAGTACAATCGCCATATGAATACACCTGTAGTTTTTTACAATCTCCATATGAACACACCTGTAGTGGATCACAATCTCCACATGAATACATCTGTAGTGGTTTACATTTTCCATACTAATATATCTGTAGTTGTTTGCAATTTTCATATGAATACATCTGTAGTGTTTTACAATCTCTATGTGAATACACATGCAATGTTTTACAATCTCCTCATGAATACACCAGTAGTGTCTTACAATTTCCACATGAATACACCTGCAGTGGTTTACAATCTCCATATGAATACACCTGTAGTGTTTTACAATCTCCATATGAATACACCTGCAGTGTTTTACAATATCCGTATGAATACACCAGTGTTTTACAATATCCATATGAATACACCTGCAGTGTTGTACAATATCCATATGAATACACCTGCAGTGTTTTACAATCTCCATTTGAATACACCTGCAGTGTTTTACAATCTCCATTTGAATACACCTGCAGTGTTTTACAATATCCATATGAATACACCTGCAGTGTTTTATAATCTCCATATAAATACACCTGCAGTGTTTTACAATCTCCATTTGAATACACCTGCAGTGTTTTACAATCTCCATTTGAATACACCTGCAGTGTTTTACAATCCCCATATGAATACACCTGCAGTGTTTTACAATCTCCATTTGAATACAGCTGCAGTGTTTTACAATCTCCATTTGAATACACCTTCAGTGTTTTACAATATCCATATGAATACACCTGCAGTGTTTTACAATCTCCATTTGAATACACCTGCAGTGTTTTACAATCTCCATTTGAATACACCTGCAGTGTTTTACAATCTCCATATGAATACACCTGCAGTGTTTTACAATCTCCATTTGAATACAGCTGCAGTGTTTTACAATCTCCATATGAATACACCTGCAGTGTTTTACAATCTCCATATGAATACACCTGCAGTGTTTTACAATCTCCATTTGAATACACCTGCAGTGTTTTACAATCTCGATATGAATACACCTGTAGTGGATTACAATCTCCATGTGAATACACCTGTAGTGGTTTACAATCTTCATATGAATACACCTGAAGTAGTTTACAATCTCCATGTGAATACACCTGAAGTAGTTTACAATCTCCATATGAATACACCTGTAGTGGTTTACAATCTACATATGAATACACCTGAAGTAGTTTATAATCTCCATGTGAATACACCTGAAGTAGTTTACAATCTCCATGTGAATACACCTGTAGTGGTTTACAATCTCCATACGAATACACCTGTAGTGGTTTACAATCTCCATACGAATACACCTGTAGTGGATTACAATCTCCATGTGAATACACCTGAAGTAGTTTACAATCTCCATATGAATACACCTGCAGTGTTTTACAATCTCCATATGAATGCACCTGCAGTGTTTTACAATCTCCATTTGAATACACCTGCAGTGTTTTACAATCTCGATATGAATACAACTGTAGTGGTTTACAATCTCCATACGAATACACCTGTAGTGGATTACAATCTCCATGTGAATGCACCTGAAGTAGTTTACAATCTCCGTATGAATGCACATGTAGTGGTTTACAATATCCATGTGAATACACTTGTAGTGGTTTACAATCTCCATATGAATATACCTGAGGTGTTTTACAATCAACATATGAAACACCTGAAGTGATTTACAACCTCTATATGAATACACATGTGGTGTTTACAATCTCCATGTGAATACACTTGTAGTATTTAAATCTCCTATGTGAATACACCTGTAGTAGTTTACAATCTTCATATGAATACACCTGTATTGTTTTACAAGTTCCTTATGAATACATCTGTAGTGCTTTACGATCCCCACACGAATATACATGTAGTGTTTTACAATCTCCATATGAATACACGTGTAATGGTTTAGAATCCCCATTTGAATAAACATTTAGTTGTTTACAATCTCCATATGAATAAACCGATAGTAGTTAACAATCTATATGAAAATTAACCTGTGCTGGTTCTCAATTTCCATATGAATACACCTGTAGTGGTTGACATGCTCCATATGAATACACCTGTATTGTTTTACAATTTCCATATGAATATTCCTGTAGTGGAGTACAATCTCCATATGAATACATCTGTAGTGGTTTACATTTTCCATACTAATATATCTGTGGTTGTTTGCAATCTCCATATAAATACACCTGTAGCGTTTTACAATCTCCGTATGAGTACACCTGTAGTGTTTTACAATCTTCATATGAATACACCTGTAGTGCTTTACAGTCCCCACACGAATACGCATTTAGTGGTTTACAATCTCCATGAAAATAAACCTGTATTGTTTTAAATCTCCATATGAATATTCCTGTAGTGGAGTGGAGTACAATCTCCATATAAATAAACCTGTATTGTTTTACAATCTCCATATGAATATTTCTGTAGTGGAGTACAATCTTCATATGAATACACCTGTTGTGGTTTACAATTTCCATATAAATAAACCTGTATTGTTTTACAATCTCCATATGAATATTTCTGTAGTGGAGTACAATCTTCATATGAATACACCTGTAGTGTTTACAATCTCCATTTGAATACACCTGTAGTCGTTTACAATTTCCATATAAATAAACCTGTATTGTTTTACAATCTTCATATGAATATTCCTGTAGTGGAGTACAATCTCCATATGAATACACCTGCAGTGGTTCACAATCTCCATATAAATACACCTGTAGTGGTTTACATTTTCCATACTAATACATCTGTAGTGGATTACAATCTCCATGTGAATACACCTGTAGTGGTTTACATTTTATTTTCCACACTGTAGTGTTTTACAATCTCCATATGAATATACCTGTAGTGTTTTACAATTTCCTTTTGAATACAGCTGTTGTGTTTTACAATTTCCATATGAATACACCTGTAGTATTTTACAATCTCCATATGAATACACCTGTAGTGTTTTAAATCTCCATATGAATATACCTGTAGTGGTTTACAATGTCTATATGAATAGACCTGTAGTGTTTTACAATCTCCATACGAATATACATCTAGTGGATTACAATCTCCATGTAAATACACATGTTTAATTGACATGTTAAGTTTGAATGAAAAATGTCCATGCATGACTTAGACCTTCGGCCATTTTGAATTCGATCATGAAACAAACTCACGTGCATATATAGTATACGATATGTGTGTGAAGTTTGAATGAAATTTGCCCTGGCATGTTCCGAGATACAGGTGCGGCCGGACACATGGAGGTGAAATCCCAGAGACAAAAAAAATATCTTTAAAAGAAAGTAGTACCGAGTCTGTCGTTGGTGGCGTTTTAGTGAAACTCTTCGGAATGAGAACTGGGTAAGTCAGTATTTCACACGGCGTGCTCGTGTCTATATTGTCAATAAATTATGTTAATTAAAGCGGAAAATGTGGGTGTATCGAAGATTGAAGCGATTCGACACACTAATTTTAGAACAGGATCGAGCTTTAGATTGTCAGCCGCCACGCTGATCTCAGTACGTCATATCTGTTCCTGCGTGTTCTGCTATGTTAAACAATGAATACGCCAGACTTATCCAAAAATGCTTTTTTATTTACATTTCCGTTCTGGAATGTTTTGTAACAACAAAGAAAACAGAATTACAAAAAATTACATGATTTCTTTTTTACAGGAGATTTGTTTCAGTTGTAACTACGTTTCTACTCATCACCTCCATATTAAACGTCTACAAACAGGGAGACAAAAATAAACAGTGAAATATATCGAAAGAGTATGTATGGTATGGTACTGAACAAAACAAATTATCAACATTCCCGGGTTTGATAAAATAAATGCAGAAGAGCCCGGTTCGTGGAAAAAACGTACTTCTTAACATTAGCTAAGTATACAATGCGCATAAATAGTGCGCATAACGTCATGATTTAACTCCAAAACGAGACGATCAACTCCGCGTCGGATGCACAAAACGAACAAACCCGCGTTCGTATGTAACACCAACATGTAATAATCAATTGTAAATTTGGTTCTGATCAATAATAATATAAGGCAGTGATTGTGCGATTTGTATAAACTAAACAACTAAAGCAAATACGTTACATAGAAAAGATGTAACAAAACTATGCTGATCAAAAATAAAAAAAAAATCTATCAACAAAAAAAACAACACAATTTTAACAATGTTTTGATTCCGCTGCTTGCTTTCTGCAACTCCTGTAATGTTGTTTTTTTCTTCTCATATTGTGCCTGCTTAATTTGGTTATATATGTAATACCACATAACTGAATAATAAACATCTTGGGGTTTCAAAAGTTAAGCTCGTCAAAGCCATGAAGTACAGTCCGCGACCTACCCATCAACTACAAACAACACGTACCCGTCAATGGCAATGCACCTGACACCGTATTCGATAAATTGAACTAATATATACGAGATTGGGTCACGTGATCCGCAACGAAAAATTCTATCTGAACTGATTTGACCGCGTGAACCCGGCCCTGCACAGTGCCAACCAAGGATGACGCAAATCTTACCAGAAAAGAAATACTTCGTACATCAACCAAAGAATTAAGTCATTGTATACGATTGTGCAATAATTTCTAAAGTTGGTGGCAGACACGTTCGTAATTACAGAGGAGCTTTCCTCCTCCGTGTGTTGACATACAAAATGGCCAAGCGAACTGGAATAGAATGTGAGCAAATACCGACAAAGAAAAAGAATGTCTTGAATAATAAAATGCATCATTAAACTGAATATAATGGTATACACCTAAAATAAAGTTGTCATTCCGTCTTTATATATAGCACCAGGCTTGCCCCCTTCTAAACTTTGAGAACGAAATGACCCATGAAATACGTAGCAGAGTGTGCAATGTTGTCCCAGGTTAATGTAGTGGGCTGCCCAGGATTAGCCTAAAAACACAACAAACGTGTTATGTCATCTGGACCACTAATAACACGAATGTACCAGCTGTGCAATTGCTGTAGACCAGCTATACGTAAACACAACGATGGTGGTACCGTATGAAAACGCTTCATTCTTGCATATTTGCCGCATACACATACACACATCTACACGCGAGACTCAACTATTATGTCGTTATATTTTACAATCTGTACATAGTTCGTCAAATTGATAATTGTTGAGCGCATCCCACTGGCCATGGCGGATATAACGACACGGCGTTGAACCAAACATAGAAGTCACAGTACAATAATCGATTATCGGTTCGTTCAAAACACGCGATGACGACATAGCATTTAAGAATCCCACTCGCATAACGATTGCAGAAGACTCCCATCCGGTGACGTACATAGTACTGTAAGTTGTCATGGTTATTGGGACACAATAATGCTGAGATGGTCTGGTCAATATTTCGCCCAACCACAACGGCATGAGCGGCTGACGTCACGGAAAATGTGCTCCCTGTCGACACATAACTCCCTTGCCATACACTGGGCGGGAACACTCGCAACATTTACCATAGAAAAAATCATTTCGCGAGTATATACAACAGTGCGTGATTCAAGGCCATAGCGTTCCACTTCGTCGTGCACTCAGCGAACAACAGAGACAGTATGGTTGATACCATTGTAAATAGACAACACTTGAACAAACGAAGCGCGAATGCGATATATTGCCAGTACTACGTAGCCTCCAATTCGTGTCGTTTCCTTGGCGACCGCCTCAATCCTTTACATTCGTTATCGTTCTCATCTTTCAAAGATGCGACTTCAATACCCAACAGATCACGAATTGCATCACTACTTTCAACTAGTTCCACGATCTCGTCGCTCCCCCTATTCCTAACACTGTTCGGCGCTACAGCTATTTGACCATCCCCAACGTGTTCCAGGAAGTCTTCCACGGTGATTTTGGTCAATGGAATGTCAGAATGCTTCAAGGCGAATTCCCGATGTGTCAGCGCAGCCCTCGGCAAGACGTCGCTCAACAACATCCAATTACCACACCTGTGATAAAACATCAGATAATATTGTTTATTACACTCGTGTTATAAGATATTATGTTTTGTTTATTATACCCATAAGATCAAGATATTATGTTTTCTTTATTATACCCTTACGATCAGATATTGCATTTTGTTTACCATTACGATCAGATATTGCGTTTTCTTTATTATACCTTTACGATCAGATATTATGTTTTCTTTATTATACCCTTACGATCAGATATTATGTTTTCTTTATTATACCCTTACGATCAGATATTGCATTTTGTTTATTATGCCATTACAATCAGATATTATGTTTTGTTTATTATACCATAACGATCAGATATTATGTTTTGTTTATTTTACCCTTACGATCAGATGTTGCATTTTGTTTATTATACCCTTACGATCAGATATTGCATTTTGTTTAATATACCCCTATGATCAGATATTGTGTTTTGTTTATTATACCTTTACGATCAGATATTATGTTTTGTTTATTACACCCTTACGACCAGATATTGTTGTTTATTATACCCTTGCGATTAAATATCATGTATTGTTTATTATACCCTTACGATCAGATATTATGTTTTGTTTATTATACCCGTACGATCAGATATTGTGTTTTGTTTAATATACCCCTATGATCAGATATTGTGTTTTGTTTATTATACCTTTACGATCAGATATTGCATTTTGTATATTATGCCATTACGATCAGATATCATGTATTGTTTATTATACCCTTAAGACCAGATATTATGTTTTTTTTATTGTATCCTTACGATTTGATACGTTTTGTTTATTGCATCTTTACGATCGCATATTATATTCTGTTTATTATACCCTTACGATCAGATATTATGTTTTTTTTTGTTATACCCTTACGATCAGATATTATGTTTTGTTTATTATACTATACCTTTACGATCAGATATTATGTTTCGTTTAGTAAACCCTTGCAAACGAATAATAGCATTGTGCTGGCATTTGCTTTTTATATTAAATTCAGGTTTAGGTCAGAAAAATAAAACCATCTTGGTTATCCATGAATATTATTCCAGATAGGTAATATTCATGGTTATGTGGAAAACAGGAAGTACTTCCATAGTAGATATTAGTGGGTGGGGTCGCTGCGCATGCGATTGTAAGCCTTTCTGGGCACACGTTTTAGTTTCAAGGATATTTGTACATATACCGGTACATAATCATCCACCATCGAAATTTCACTCGTTATTTTTGGAAAAATGAATATATACAAACATATGTTATTTAAACGTAGATTAGATTTCAGACACCAAACCTGGTCACTGAACTTTTCTGATCAAATTGGATTTCTTAAAATTAGACGTCAATTAAAAGTGCAATTTGGTTTTACAAATTCAAATACTGACTACAATGTTCAATGTATCATCACTGATGAGAAGATATAATTAATTATGACCATATTTGCATGCAGTAAATAATAACACCACTGAGATAAATATACTTACACAGCGACCCTCGTAGTAAAACTTGTAAAAGTGAAACTTGGGATATTGAAAAACGACTTACCCGAAAAGATGATATGTTTGTATATGTGGTCTGTCACTAAGTTCTAATAGAGGTTCTATCTCCGGCTCAGAATCATCGGGTAAATTTTCAAACAAATCGAACCCGAGTTCATCAGGGTCATCTGTAACATGGAGAGAATAAACATAGCCATTCAAGTCATATTAGGTACAACTGATAGGACAGATATAGAAACGGAAGCAAGAAAATAATGACTTATACATTTGCATACTCCAGTCACGTGATATTTGTGTCAACACATCCACCTTTTTGTTTATTCTAGTTCGTAGCTATTCATGTTTTGAAATACTGAAAATATCGTAGCCAATTTGGGTATGCATGAGTTGTGTGTGTATAAGGTGTGTCACCCTGTACTGACTTGGGAACAAGCCAACAAGTTACTGACGTCATCAAACAGAATATCTCGTGTGCCAGGAAACCGTTAACTGTTTTATTCATTATGTATTGCGCGCACACACGCACACACACACGCGAAAATACTGAAGAACCCGAGCCCGAACGCCGAGTAAATAGCTTTTAACACTTATGACAGTGATCAAGTATATTAGTAATAGGAGGGATATTTCACCGAGGAAGCCGAAAATATATATGGCATTTCCCTCGCTATACGCCACTCAACTAACGCCTAGCTACTACGATAATATTTCATTATCCATTCACATTTATGTAATTTAATTACGGCATGTCATGAAAAGCGTCTCAACAATAACACTATTCTTCCTCGGGCAGTGCATAAATGTTGCAGCCGGAGGAATCACTCCACGAATTATCCAAATATTCACGCTGTCGTTTTAAATGATCTAATACAATTTACTAAATAAATAATAGTTGATCCACAGTCCCTCTATCTCTATAGAGGGACTGTGGCTGATCGTGCTAAAATATTGTCGTAGTCGTATTGTCAGTGGGATGTAAGTGTATGTTTAGTGGAACGCTATGTCAATCAGTAGACGACATTTCTCTTAAAAATGGTATTTTATAGTTTATGAAAGGGGTGCATGGTATTTCGTTCCCGGAGTGTGGCCCCTCGATGAAATCCTTGTAATTGTGAGGTATCTTGCCCAATGGACATATAGACATGTTACGTAATTGGGAGTATTGAGTTTCACTGACAAGACTCGTATCTTAATGCGGTGGTGTTTCAAAATAACTCACCGAATACATCATTTGATCCTATGAACTGCCATTCATGATAAACGTCCTCACCGGAACTGTCATCGTCGTCGGGTATACTTCCATTCAAATCAATTAAATAGTCTATATATTGAGAGAGAAAAAAGTCATCGTTATTTAGAATCCAGGTCATGATTGGACATTACATCGCTTATTACATGCGACAAACACAACAAATCATATTCTCCAAACGCATCAACTTTGTAAATGGTTATTATTTGGGGCAAAAACAGCTCTCATACCTTTCAAAAAGGATGCCATCTTTTTGCTCCGTGCAATTTTCAAGGGTGTTCTTCCAGCATATGTAGCTAATAGTGGGTCGGCACCGTACGAAAGTAACAGCCTCACCACTTCAGCATGGTCGTTCTCTACGGCGTCGTGGATGGGTCTAAAAACAGTCAAAACACATCGTGATTATGCTTATATTTTTACTACATATGTAATGCGGAGAGGATAGAGGGCGTTGACAATGGTGTGTGCACTAGGATACTGTCTCTCAGAAAAGCGTTGAAATTTCCTTTGTTGACTACCTTTTCAGTGTGGAGGAGTGAAAAGGGTGAACACATTTCACACATAGTTTAAACAAATCATGCATGACACAGTTCCAGTTAGTTATCAAATTTAAGACGTATAGTTTTGTTTATAGTAGTATAGAGATATGGATCCAGAACTTTAAGCTGATGCTTGATTATGATGATTTTTTTAACATTAAGATGATTGACATTCAGTCATCTTGCATCTGATCGTAAAAAGAGTACTTGTCCATATTGAGAGATATATCTTTGAAACAGCATTAATTAAAACAAAATGGCCACCGGTTGGCCATTTTGAATTAGATCGTCAAACCAATACATCTGTTTATCTATGACACGATGTATAATAAATATATAAAATTTGAACATGAGCAGTCAAAGCTCGTCAGAGGCCAAAGGCCGTCAAGACCGCCAATCGGTTATTTAGAATCCAATCTAGAAAACAAAATGACTTAGATCAAGGGCCAATGTATGTACCAAGTTTGACAAAATGTATCTGTAAACAGCCGAGATCCGGTTCCGGAATGCCAGATTTCGATGATTTATAAAAACAATCTAAAGATACAATTTGATATTGAATTTCAGGTAAAGTATCACCTCATGTTATGAATTTTATTATTTATTTAATCTGGGAAACGTAATGAATGCATACCATTGTATAGTGAGTATATAGATGAATCCACGGTAATGATAATGATGTAGTGTGACATTTCACCATCAGATACCCACAATACAGCTGAAGAACTGTAACACTTACCGAGTTCCATCCAGAGAGCTACAGTTTACATTAGCACCATATTTGAGTAAATGTTTAGCGATTTGTAGTCTTCCACGCACACAGCACTCGTGCAGCGGTGTATAGCCAGCGTTGTCCTTGACATCGATGTTCACGACGCCATTCTCTATGCAATACAACGCGATCTCCTGAAAACAGCAGAAAATTTCCACTAATTAACATACGCCATTACAAAGTCACGTCAAGGGAGCTCATCCACTAGGGGTGGGGGTCGGCAGCGGCCATATTGATTAGGAATACGTGACGTTGGAGTGTTTATAGAGAAATCGAACACCACGAGTGTCAAAAGTCATTCTTGGTAGTTTCATTATACTAGTACTTGTAAGGCAAAGGACGTTTCTTCTTTTCGCAATTGTCGGATTTGTTATCAAATGTGGCATATGTACACTTCACGGCGACACTAGGTTTTTTTCTCTTTCAGTCGGCGTTTGAACGTCCCAGACTTTGCTAATTGTTATTCAAAATAACCAACATTCCAGTTGAGGCAAACAGGCTGAGTGAGTGATACATAATCTACCGAACGAGTTCATTATCTGTCTTATCACACGACGGGATTGGTTAAGAACTTAATATTTGCAACATTTTGCAAAATAATAAGCACTTGTGTTTGCCTTTGTGTATTTTTTTATTCGAACTACGGCTGTCTAGTCATCAATATGGCTGGGCATCATTTGGTCTCGGCGGCCTTACGTTGAATAATGTCTATGAAATGCCACAAGAAAAACTTCCAAAGAAAATTGAGTGATCGATTTTTGACGCCACTACCGGGCTCGAAATTGTCCATCGAGGTGCGAGTGTTCAATTATGTTCGCAAAACAAAGATTAGCTATTGACTAACGAATCATAGTGACAAGGTGGCGTACTACACACCGGGTTGGACAAATTTATGACAATAGTTTAGGTGACCGGATAAAGCGTACGTGACCGTCGTCCATGAAGTTTACTGTGTGAACCTTATCTACTCTGTAAACTCCGACCCCTGTCTCCAGCGACAGTCCTCCAAACCGAACTAAAAAACGTAAAGACAAGTTCCCCAAACGAAAATGTTACAGAAATACAGCCGAGTTTTGCAGGTAACTTGGGTTAGTGTGTTTTCGATTGCTAAATTCACGATGTTATCACTGCCACGGCTGTCATGGTGGAAATACACTTTATAGCTAGAAAGTTGCAAAGTTTGTGCAATTCGTTATATGTTAATTGTATGATTCATTTGTCTCCCCAAAGTGGATTATGGCTTGATTCTGATCGGTCAACTGATTTAGCCACGTGATAAGGGTTTCATGTTATGTATACAACGCATGTAAAAAAAACCGGTTGAAACAGTTCACATGAAATTCGAGGACGTCCGCCCAACACGACCACGGCGACTTTCTTCAAGCAAGCAAGTTTTTTTTCACGCCACTGTTATCTTCATATAATATTGCAACTCACCTCGTTTCCCACTCTAGCTGCACGATGTAACATTGTTTCGCCAGAGTTTTTATTTACCATTATACGTTTCATTTCTGTAATATATCAATGCACGTTAGTTTAGTTATGTTGCATTGGAAAACGAGCGTGTTTTTGACATTTTCTGAAATAGGCATGCGATAGTAATTTATTCTAATGCAACATTTATTCGTGGTATTTCAATACAATATTCAAAAGAACTGTTGTATTTCAACAAAATTATTCAAAAGAACTGCTCATGGGTGACCCTTAATAACAGAAATAATAAAGAGGGTAGACGCGCTAATTTACTAGTACACCAAACGTTTAATTGATCCGAATTACTGCGTTGAAATTTTGAAAGCTACGGACATATATCCGGCATATATCTCACCAAATATGTCACATATTAGCTCAACTACGTGTTTTACACCGCAAGAAATCGTGAATCATACACTAAACAGCACCTACCAGGTGGCATTGGTCTGGTTGGACTGATTCCCTCGATTTCAATCCCTTCGATCTCGTATACCTCAGCTGCAGCCTCGTGTTCTTTGTCGAAGTCCTCCGTGTCGTAGTCAATCTAAAATACCCACATATAATTTCAATAACGGTAAACACGTGTATTCGTATACAATGATTTTGTTACGCTATATACGAGAAGTAATGTGAATGGGAAATCCTGAACAACAATACGTGTCGTATTAATTCGCTAGTAAATTCAGCCGAAACTGCGAAACGAATTCACTTGTTTTTGTGTACGTTCCAAATAAAATATCGTATCCTATCCAAATTTAACTAATCATAATGATAATTGCAATAATGAATAAACACGCACTTCAATGACAACTTATTTTCTGGGGGGCCAATACAACAACGCGGCTCCCGTGATTTACAAAATTACGCCATCATTGCCAGTGTCTGGAAACTTATAATTACAGTCATCATTAAAATCTAACAATAAATCAAAAATCTGTTCGCTTGGTTAATACTACTAAATTGAATTTCGAGTGTTCAAGAAACTACCATGTGACCCCCGTCATAACAGTGAAAATAATGCCATCTCTTCTTAATGAGAACTTGACTTAAATTGAGAAATCGATATCAATGATTATGTGACATTTATATTCACAGAGTTATGAGCATTACTGCACACGCACATACAACTTACGAGTATCGGTAAGTGCAAAACATCCTATTAACCGTCATTCATGACGTGTTTTTTTGTCAAATACCTTACTTTGTATTTTCCTCAACAAATCATCTTCACTTAAAATTTAGAAATGAGACATATGGACTTTTAAGGAATTACCAGAGCGATATGGACAAAGGATGCGCATGGTTATACATCGCGACATTAAAAAATACTAATATACTGTGTCAAGTAATATTTAGAATCATAGAAGGAAGGGATGATTATTTCAAATACATTATTAATGAGTCCAAAAGCAAATCATAAAATCGTGACCTTCAACATTCAGCATGTCATTTCTTTGAATTCACAGCACGTGGCACCTGGGCGTTCTGCAGCAGGAAATTCTCTGAATGAGCCCACCTGATAGCCTTGAATTTAGTCGGCGATCCGCTCTATATACATCACTCTACTGTCTCTGTCAACTTTATTGGTTGAATGAGAATGCCGATTGCATATCGCGCGATAATGCCCCCTCATCATTTTTAAAGTGACCAATGCACGTGAAGTACGCTTATGGCACCTCATAGTATAAATAAATATGAATAGCTAATACAAAAAATGGAAGACGATAATTTAGAATTCTGTGTTTCTTGTAATCGCTATAATGAAAAAAAAGAAAGTTTTCTACCTCAGTGACATCATCAAAGGTCATATTTTGATCGAGATCGAGATGACGTCGTTTACAAGTTCTTTTCCCTCCAGGTTTATCAAATAGTCTTTTCCGTCTTCTTTCTGGTGTTTCCATGGCGCTATCACCTGCACTTCCATCGGATACAAATCGAATTTTATTATAGTTAGATGGATCAATGATGCATCTCATAGACTTCTCTGATTCAGATGTACTCGGCATGCCATCTGATAAAATGTCTCCTGTATCTGATGCGATATCCATTGTGAACAAAAAGTCTGAAGGATCAATAATTTCATCCTTAATATCGATATTATCTTCAGTTAAATGCCTCATTCCACGGCCACGGCCACGGCCTCGGCCACGGCCACGGCCGCGGCCGCGACCACGTCTTCTACCTCGTCCCCTGCCTCTTCCCCTGCCCCTACTCCTACAGTGTCCGCTTTCTTGTCGTCCACGGCCTCTCCACGTGTATTTCCGCTTTACTTTGTCGACAGCAAGAGTGGTACTACTTGCACCTCTTCCACCTCTACTACCCATTCCACGACCCCTCCCGCGTCTGTATCCACGACCACGACCTCGACCACGGCCTCGACCCCGACCACACACAATGTGACCACTTGATTCAGAAAGAGACCGACGACGACGTCTTGGCGGCGAAGCTTCATCACCACTTGTGCTGGCTAAACTGAACGTTCGCTTCCTAAACAGTTTCTTCTGCTCTTCTTTTTCAATCTCTTGCTCATATTTGGCGTTCTTATTAAAAAGAGGTTTCCGTTCTCGTATTTTGTAACCTGATAAACAATAAATAGTTGAATATGATACATAACAAATACAGTAATTTGTTATCAACGATGACAAGAAAACAACCTACCATATCACCAAACATTTATGTTGATGAAATAAATGCAAGACATAATATAAGCAAATGCAACTTCATTTATATTCCCACAACGCAATGCAGAAATGAAGTTCAATAACCTCATTCAGATATAAGGTTACATACATTGCATGGAATGGAGCAGAGAAAGCAAGCAAGCAGATGAAGCACTGAAAGTATGTTACGTAATTAATTTAATTAGCATGCTTACGAGGTCAATAAACCCCCGCATTACTCATGTATGAAATCATGAATTATATCATACAAGTATCTCCCGCCCCTCTATGGACAATCTGGAAAGGTTTCGTAAGTTAAGGACGAAGACGCTGATATGACAGATTTAACAAGAGAATGATTATAAACAGTATTCCCCATGATCGCAATGATTACCTGTCAAGCCACTGCGGGTCCTTTTTTCAAGAATGACAGGAACATAGTCTTGGAATTGACCTGTACAAGGAAGAATAGCACAGCACGTAATGTACTGGCATTCACATGCAAGGAGGGTATTCACTAAAGCTAATGTGCTGAAGGAGGCGAGCAATGCATGCAGGAATGCGATTTAACCTCCATAATTGTGTGAAAATGATGCAAAGTGGATAATGCAAAATAGAACACTGAGCAATAAATATATTGAAAAAATAATTCTTCATCCATTCATTCAATTAAAATGCATTAACTTCAATGGTTTTGTAAATGCGAATATTATCACTAAATTGTTAGCAGGGTGAACTTGTATGTTAGAAAACTGACCATTGCACCTGTTACTATGGATACACAGTACTAACCTACAGTTGTTATTGATTATGCTAAAATACTTTGCAGTAATTTAAAGCATCTTGAAAGCTATGGAAATTGTAACGATCACTGATTGTAACAAACCTTTCTTGATTTCCGTATCATCACCATGTTCCGATGTTGGAGAAAATAATAGGGAAGACGGAGACGATGGCTCCGTTTTATCTGGCGATTCAACATCATCATAGTCACTATAAACCTTTTCTCTGACAAAGTCTTCAACATTCTGTTGGCCAGACTGAACATGCTGCACAGTGACATCTGGAAAGAAAGACATTTCTATGTCCCAAAAACATAACGGTATATTATCAACAAAAAGAAATACGAAACTAAATACTATACATTGTATGAATTAATTAGAGACATGTTGGGAGTCGCCTTCATATGTATAACAACTAAACAGGTATAGTTTAGTTACAGTGAATATTTGAATGTAGAAACTATTAATTAGCTGTAGTCATGCAAATTAGTATATATAAATATGCATTAGCATGTTAGAAATAAAATAACTAAAAATATAAGATGACACGAATTAGAATTTCGAGTATATTTAGTTACACGACCAACTCTACTTCATAAATCAATTTTCAAAGGCAAACTTTTATGTATTTACATACATCATGAATGATTTCAGAAATGAATTGTTTTAAAAACTAGATCCACTATAAAAGGTATACATTTTCCATAAGCTGTCTGTACTCATTCCTGTGTTAAACGAATCGAGGCGTTTAAGCAAGATTTTTATACATTCCAAAATTCAAATGTTTGGAAAAAAACATAGCCCAACTATTACAACCTTGCCCATGAAAAATCTAGATTAAATAACAAATAAACGAATGGATACAAACTGACGATGACAAATCTTTTCTTTTCAAAATTAATTAATGTTCTGTATTATTCTCATTGTATTGACATTGCAATGCACAGTCCTAGTTGCATATGGAATTCTGTTGTGTGTATTAATAGTAGTTTTGGTTTGTGATGGAGAATATAACAGCACCTGTGTCTCGAAGTATTCTTCATTTAATATGGATATACAAGTGTTATGTATGTGACAATGAATGATATCATGTTTATAGCAAGAAAACAATTGTCAACATCATAACACAAATTAATAATATAAAGGTTCCTATTCATTATCATTATGACCAAAGCACACACGTTATTTATGTTCAAAATTATACACGTTTAAGAATAATTTAACCCCTAGTCCTGGTGCGGGATTTTTTACATTACTATTTTATAGCTTCAGGAATTGCGCATATGCAAAACCAATAAAAAATACTACCCATCATGTTCCTCAATCAACACTACACGTACGTGTATTGTATATATAAGCATTGATTTATAGAACATATCTGTTTACTGCACTCTTAGAAAGCAAACTCCTCAAGTTGGTTATTATTATCAGCAGTATGAATGACTTCATTTTGTCCCATGCTGGCCACACCAAAATTGAACTTGGTTGACATTTCATAGTGCATGATCAGATTTCCGAATTTGATGATCAGATAAAAAAAATGTTTTACTGTAACTAGAAGAAAAAGGTAATTTTGGAGGGTATTTAACCAATAACTTGAAAAATATTCATAGAACACATACAAAATCCAACTTGGTACCCTTGGTAACTTGGAGGCTAATATCCAAGTTTATTTTGAGCACAAGAAAATATGTTGGGGCCAATGATAACAACAAAGAAAATCTTCATCTATGATGATACAGGCAAGGTAAAATATGTGAATTTATGTAACACTGACATCATACATGTTCCTTTAAAATAGTGTGAAGGTAACAAAACAACCATTATATCACAGAGAATGCGTTCATAAAACACAAATGATATAATGTGGCCAACAACAAAATATAAAGAATTTGTTTTAAGACACCCACCGTCTTCATTACTGTCCTCATGAGTAGAATGTCTCCCCAGCTTATACTTGTATTTTCGATGTAAATTGCCAATATTATCTTTTTCCTGTTTTTTTGTTGCATATTCTACACATTGTCTCATCTGCGTGGGTGAATCTTCTAAGGATTGGGATCTCCTAGTTGGGTTTATAAATTCTCTTTCTTGCTCCATGAATCTCATCATAGCACGCTGTTTTACAATAGAAATTAAGCTCATTAATTGTCTTAAATTGTTCACAGTACATATTTATAGCACATACTTTCTGTTCGATAGTTTTGAATATGGTTACATTTGATCCAGTGTATCCACCAACAGCAATAAATATACATATATATATATATAAATATGCAAGGAAAGCACACATTTTTATTTCAACGAGACTCTCAGGTACTCAATAAAAAAACTTACCTGTATATGTCTGTCCTCTCTAGTAAGTAATGAAGAATCAACGTACAAATCGTCACTCTTTGGTTTTTTTGGTTTATCAGCAACATATCCTTCAGAATTTTTTATCCTCGCTATTTCCAGGGATCGTCTGTGCTGCCTAGCCCTTTCTGAGCTATTCATAGATGTGGTTGTAATTGCATCAACACCAGAAGAAGTAACAGTGCAATAATCTTCTGTTGAAGGAGTCATACTGCAAGTATGAGTGCAAATATCATGGGATAGCTTCACTACACATGATGAACTTAGTTTGGTATTTGCTGTTATGACAGTTGAAGTGTGCGGTATTGACGACCATTCTGGTATCAACTGTGGAAGTTCCTCGGAAGCTCGCGCTGAACATTCTCTTGATTCTGTAAAATCATCGTTTTTTTCAAAACCAACATCACTCTTATTTTGATCAGTATTAATTTCAGTGACAGAATCTGTTATATTCTCTTCATAACCTGCAGGGGTAGCTGGTGAACCAGCTGGAGATGTCAAGTCTATTATTTCATTAACTAGTGCATGTTTGACAGTTTCTTTTGGTGTTGTGCTACTACATGCAACTCCTAATTGTTCCCACACATTTCGCTTAAATGGCTTACTTTGCATTGTCATTGCAGATATGGGAGAAGACTTTCTATGATTTGGCACCCAGCCAGATGAAGAATGTGGTCCAGCAGAATGAGTGGAACTACCAGTTCTGTGGGCATGTGCCATACTTTTTTTATTCAGGTGATCTATCAAATGTTGATATTGTTTAGCCCCCATTCTGGGATCACGTGGAGAAACTCTGTTCAGTGAGAGTGTTGGAGAAAGACTTCGAGGGATTTCACGCTCTGATACTCTTGCCATCAAGGCTTTTCTAATCATGTTGTCCATATCTTTTCGATAAGGCATCTGTGTGAACCTTTGCTTTTCTTGTTGAGCTCTGTGAATACTGTTGTACTGATCAGATGTCAAAACAGGTGGTATAGTAACTGGGGTGTTGCAAGACGGTGACAGACGATCATACAATTCATTTCTGGACTGTTCATCGGCAACTTTGGGATACATTGGCAGTGTGAGTGCATTATACAATACCTTAGAGTTTGTTTGATCCAATGTTGGAGGGTCAATAGAAGAGAACATGGAAAGCTTGTTCTGGCTTGGTGAGAGAAGTACAGGTGCTTGTGTGTTGTGAGGTGTAAGAACAGGCATTGTAGGCGATTTAGGTTCAGCAGGTCTTGGTGAATGGCCATTGACAGTGCAAAGATTGTTTCTCTGAGATTCATGACAATGAATAATTTGTTCTGGTGACATGTTCTTGCTGGAAACGTTTATCAATCGAGGTGGAGTTTTTTGAAGGTTTGCAGCATGCCCATGTGGGATATGAATTTCCAATGGCATCAAATATGGTGGAGATGACTGAGAGGTGGAAATGTTTTTTTCATGTAGCATATCTGGTTGGTTATGACAATGCTGATGATTTACAGCGTCCTCTACAGCTTTCTCTTGATCATCTATAGGTCTCAATAATTGTGTTAGCTTAGCACCAGCTAAAAAGGAGTTCTCAACCATTCCCATTGGAGAAGCACCTCCATGTGGAGAATGTGTTCTTGACTTGAAGGTGGTGGGGTGTACTGATTTGGTCCCCAGTGTCTGTCTATGCATGGGTGAAGTGTTGCAAGGAGGGCGCTTAGGAGATCTATCTCTTTCAGCCATTACATAACCTACTGGTGACCCATAGGACATCTGAGGATACAGACTTTGGCTCCTCCCATTGTCAGGCATCTTTGGAGGAATACTGTATGAACTATTGGAAGATGTACTGGGTAGAAATGTCTGTAAATGTCCTGTTTGTGACATTGAAATTACAGGATATTTGCTGCTGATAGCCCTGGACCTTTCAGGTGATTTTGCGGCAGTGGGGTTCACACGGGCAATTCTTATAGGCGAGTTGGCTTTTGATGTACCTGCACTCTGGTAAGGCGGGGTAGATCCATTTCTTCTATCATATTTAGGTGGTGGCAGTGGTCTCTGCTGAGCAGATTTGCCATTGACGCTAGTAGACACAGCAAACGTATTCCTTACCATCCCCAGTGACGATGCTGAAGAATATTGTTCACATGTCTTTGGCGAAGTATTAACAGATATTGACGTTGGCGTTAGAACTCTAGGAATAGGAATTGAGGGTGGTGATAAATTTCTATTCATTTCAGGAGACAAACAGTGATGATACGGTGAATGGGCTGGTGAGAGTGCCGGGGATGATCCCCTAGAGTTATCAAGTGGTCTAGACAAGAATGATCTTGGTATCCCTACTCTTTGAGAAAAATCACTCGATGAATAACCATTTTGAAATGTATTCTCAGGAGAGTTAGATGTGAACTGTCTGTCATAGTCTGTTGTATGGTGCATTGAAAATGTCCTTTTCTTCACTGATAAGTCTAGTGGTACACTTAGATCTAATGGGGGCTCAAGTGAATGAGATACTGAAACTGTCTTCGTTGATGCAGATTCTGATTTTGTCTGAGATGGACCTTGTTTGAGCAAAGGCGGAGGCAACCTTGATGATGACTGTGTTTCTAATGTAGCCCTATAACGCATTTCCACATACTTTTTTGGCTTCCTTTCAAATGGCACTTTTGGTTTTGGTGACTGATCATCATGGACCTTGGCATATCCATTCATTGTTCCATTTGTAATTTTGTTTGAATTAGGGATTATAGCCATGTTGGAATTGTCTATACTCTGTATAGAACTGTATTCTTTATCAACTGTCATTTTCCTTGGAGAACCAGACTGTCTCGACTGAAAGAAAAAACAAAACAAGTCATTGTTAATGACAAGGAAAATGGCCGCCAGTTGGCCATATTTGTTTGAATCACGGAAAAAGTATGACGTGCACCAATAACCAAATATGTATGATCATCATACCAACTTTGATCCAAATCGGCCCAGTCATCTTCGAGAAACGTTTAGGTATCAGAAATAGCAAATGTCAAATCCAAAATGGCCGCCAGTCGGCCAATTTTTTCTCCAATCATAAAGTAACTTGACGCGCATATGTAAGACATTATGTACTGTCTTCATGTAAAGTTTGAATGAAATCCGTCAACGGGTGTCCGAGATATAGCTTCGGACGTACGTACGGATGGACGGACGCACGGAACGAACCCAAATTAATAGTCCCCGTTTTCGGACTTCGTCCGAACGGGGACTAACAAATCATACTATAGAATGTTGTGCAATATTCATCAAAATCCCTAACCACTGCTATCAACAGTTTTTTGAAACAAAATGGCCGCCAGTTCGGCCATCGTTGATTCGGATTATGAAACAAATGCATGTGTGAAGTTTGACATCGATCGGCCGAGCATGTGTGAGATATGGCTAGTATAATCCATAAGTCATCGTTTTTGGACTTCATCGAAACGGAGACTAAAAAGTAGGTTAATTTCTGGCAATATTAAACTCATGAACATAATATTTTATCAGTTTTTTGACTATTTGTAGCAACTCCACCGAGCATAAGTAAGAATTAGAAACCATCAGTTTTCAATTGTGAGCAATTTCAATGCTTTGTTTTGTGACATTTCCCTTGATTGCAAGCATCTTCTAATCAAATTGCAAAGTTTTAATTGCAAACAATTTCAGCCAGCAGATGTAACAAATTTTAACCAGAATATATTAGTTTAATAATAATTTGTCAGAAAAGCCAATAACTTAAATGTGAAGAATGCTTTGTTTTGTGACATTTTCCTGCAGGGTGACATGTCTGAAAGCATTGCTTATAACGACTCTTGGCGGCGCCGCTCGTTTAAGACGCCTAAATAATGAGACGAATTCTGTGACGACGATGAGTATTGGTTCCTTAACTCATGATATATGACAAATTTATTATTTACCTGTTTATATTGTTGTTTCGGAGTTGTCACGTGTAGGGAGTTACTGAACGAGATTTGGGGTGATTTACTTAGCTCCACATCGGGATGTTTCACAAGAGGTGTATTGTAAGAATGTCTGAAATATCGGAGAACAAAATATCACATAAATATGGAGATTTCAGAAAATACACATATACGCATTATTGCTTGATAACTACATACTACATTGAATGTGAATAATATGTTGGCAACCCTGAATATATTATACATTGAATATTTGGCCAACACTACATTAACTAATAAAGACCTGCGTATACTACGCATCTCTCCTGATGCCCTTCACTCATAAAACAAGAAAGGGATAAGCTCCCTGTTCTAAAGATAATATAATGTATTCCTATATATTTTGCAACCAGGTATTTAATTTCACTATTTGGATATTTTGAGTATATGTAACTAGGTTATTTAAACCTGGATTTGTCTGTTAATTATTCAGCAAAAAACGAAATTGGAATTTAAATTAATATTTTTACAGAAAGTTATCTTCAACATGGGGTTCATAAGTACCGCTATATTGTAGGATTTCCATTAAAAAGTTAATACACTGAGGCTTCTGTATAATGACTTCACACAGACAGGACGTTTTGTCAACCCACTTAATGAAGCGTGCAAATCAACAGATATAGTTAATGGAACCAAGAGTAAAATAAAAACTGAAGACACAGTTGTATTTATTTCGTCGATCCAGTCGCGAAAACTCGATGTATTGCCATTAAGTCTTGATAAGATTCGGAGGCATTAATTTCATTCAGCTATCCTATGCGAAGTGGTCCCAGGGGTTATTAACGTACTATGAAAACATGAATTGCACACATGACAGAAGGTTCTTATCCCAAACTTAATACCTCGTATTTGGTGGTCTGTGCACAATAAGTATAATGTTAACAGTTTACTACAAAATGTAAAAAAAAAATAGATTCCTAAATGTAAATTGGTTGAAACACTAGGAATACAAGTGTACATTGACAGACTAAATTAAAAAGGACAACAATGTTTTCTACTTTCACATATTCACAGCATTGGACACACCCTTAAGTCGTCAGTGTATAAAGCTGGTTGAAATCTCATTCGTGGTTCGAATACCAAATATACGTAAAGAGATTATTTAACCTGTTTAAAGGAGCGGTCACACAACCTTGTCCTGTGAATTCTGTGAACAGCAACTACCAATCAAAATATAGATTCATGCTATCTGACATTGCATTATTACAAATATCAAACAGTAGTGACCCTAATCATAGATCCTAATGGATAGATTGTGTTGAATATTTTCTGGGACCCTTCAAGGTCAGGCACACCGATCCTTTCTTGGTGTACAGTACACATTCACTATCGATAAGGATTCATTTTAAATTTGAAAAGTCAAGTGGCCCTAAATTATACAACCATGTTTTCCCAGGTTAGAAAGTTGAGGCGGATTAGTATATCTATAGCAAAGCTACATCAAGAACCAATTAAATAGAGTTAAATATAGACAAGGTCGCATACACACATGAAGTACCACTTGTAGAATTACTTTACTGCCTCCTACCTTTCTAAACTAGACGGGTGTTGGAGTAGATATTCAATCATGCTGCCACCTGTTGTAGCCGACTGGGCATTTTGATCTTCCACAGATATTAAATCCACTTTATTTGCACTGTGTATGGTATTTTCGGTCAATCTATAGACGCCCTGTACAGAAACGAAAAAACAAAGAATCGAGCGTTAGGACAAGGCAAAAAAAAAATAACTTGATTAGTAGATTCGTTGTCATTATTTTTTTGTAGAGTTCGTTGGATGCCACTAGACTCAAACCAATGTCTGTGATGGATGCTATTGTGACATCCGGGAGCCGAAGACGAGTTGATGCAGACAACAACTGTCTTCTATTGGATAATTTTCCCATCTGTGTTTTTAACAACCAACCATCCGTCTGTCGATGTCGCTATTGGAACACTACTTCGTACTGACACAGGTGTGTAAAGACAAATTCGAGGTGTGTATCTAGCATGCAAACAGGAGACAATACAGTGCACATCCAGACTCATGCGAGCACCAGTAACCTAGATATAGAAACCACATAACAAAGTACGAAAAAATCGTTGTCGGGAGAAATGGACATAATTATATTCGCGAGGCGTTTTTTTTCCCAAAAAAGAAGACGCAAAAAACGTGTAATTTACAACCAAATGCATTGTGCACTTCGTCCACGATCTCAAATAATAGAGAAAGAGGATGCAAAGCACCTAGAACCCTGAAGTATGCATGGAAGTTGTTTTACGCGGCATCACCGGCTGGGGTGTGCCGCATATTCAACAAATTATTATGCTCTCTGGTAAAAACGTGAAATCGCCACTAGTTGAGATAAAATTACGGGTAGATCTATGGTAGTGGTGATGGTGGTGGTCGCGCTGCGGTGCGTTCGATATGTTGTCATGGCGACGTTTAGAACGCGTGAAAATGCATTGTTTTCGCGGAATTCGAACGCGCGCCTCGCGACGAATACCCTCTTTTAAAAAATCATCTGCATGGGAATAATAATTTTCTAGTAAAATGACAGCATTTCGGTAATTCATATTGTAATCAACAATCAGAACTGTACACACTGGGGCACGATTCTGTTTTTGTTTACTTGCAAACTTATCAACGGACATTCACCAATACCAGCGATGTACACCATACCATGCGATTATAGGCAAAAATACAACCCCAAATATAATGAGCAGAACAGTATTTACAAACAGGCTATAATACCCAAACAACAACTAGGCTATATACACATATCTCAGTACAGACAACGCCATATTATTACGCTAAAAATTAGTGGCACCATCTCGTCTTTGCATTCAATAAAGTACGTTCAGTCGTGACCGTGCATAAACGATATGGTACAAGGCGTGAATACAATAAATAGATAACTATATTTCTATTGTTGAGATACAATCAAATAAATGTGGGTCGAAGTGTGCAGCTCAAGCACATGCACGGTTAATTGAAAATCTAGCTGGTGACCAGATTTATGCGAGATACGGACATGCGTACAAGCATGGAAGGTACCTTCCATGGTACAAGTAATACTAGTGTACGTCATGCGCGGGTTTCCCCGCGGAGACCCTCCGTTTGATGGGCAGACAATAAATGTACTGTCTGGTTTCATCAAACGCGATTTATTGTGCATATCTAAAAACCCGGGTGGCATTACTCCCGGACACATATCACTATTAGCATGGAATAAATGCTATATGATATCTATGAACAAAAGGAAATGGGCACAAACGTATTTAAATGTGGTCAAAACAAAGAATCTGTTTATATGCACAACACAAGCGATCGTTCAACCCCCGGGGTTCAACCAAACTGTAACAACCCGAGAAACAGCACTGGCGAGTCCCGCTGCGGGTTTAGTGGGCGGTTCGACCTCGGTACTTTCGTATTAAGATGACATACCACCCACAGTAATGTTCAGCGAATAGTTACGGAAGTAAGGGCAACGACTGCCAGGATTGAGATCTACACAAAACATTAAATGTAATTTTTTTTAGTAAATTCATGGAGCTAAAAAGCAGTCAATTCGTGTTAGCAAAGTAATCCTCAGCAAAATTGTATTTACATTTTATCTGAGCTTCATGATCCTGTTTTCTGAGCGGGAAATTGAACTCTCTTTTGCAAACTTCCCTGGTCATAAATCAAAATTGGGACAAACACTGAGGCACAAACGACACAAAATTACACAAAATTATTATATTATTCGGTTTGCGAGTTCGAGCCCCTGTCAAAAAAAACAATGCGGAACTAAATATTACATCTATATTACAGTTACCACATGGAAAGCACATTTCCATTGGCCGATCATCAACGACGTGAAGAACAAGAAACTGCATACAAACGCATTCATACTTGATTTCAATACACACCGTGCGTTCTCCACGCCGCCACGAAGACACACAACACTGCGTCTAAAATAGTAGTACATTGATATAACCAAATACAAAGAAGGCTTGAAGAAGCAAAGAAACTCACTCACTCAGTATTATCAGCTAAACGACTGTGATTAGACGGACAACGTCGTGACACTTACAGTTTTGCAAAGTGACACCACCAACTGCTGGAGAGGGGGAGAGAATTGAAAATGGACTACTGGAGGTCACAGCGTGTCGTGATGTTGTTGTTTTGTCCGCGCTTGCGCAGATTTGTTTTATTTTACCAAGCCGCGCATATTGTGATGCATATTTAATTGTTGTTCAGTGCGAAGCGACATCCTTATAAAAATGGAAAGCGGGTCGTACTGACATTGTGACATACATTACATTAAAAGAAAGGCTGAGTAGGGAGCGAGTCGTGTATACATGCGTTCATTGGCTGGGACAAGAAACGAAACAAACAACAACAGTTTACCCGGTTCTTAGCAGAGTTTCACACACACGCTTATTAAATACACACCACTCAAATTCATCACAATAATTGACGTTAGATATTTTTGTAATTGACGTTAGATATTTGATAAGCGGCGACTACTTTGTGAAGCGACAAACCGAATAAACGGCATGTTCGTGACTGTCCCTTTCCATTTTAGGGCGTTCCAAATATACACTACTGCGTACAACGACAAAAATCGTGTTTTGAAGGACGTCGGTTGTTGTGGCGTGTCGTGTTTGATGCGAGTCTCATAACGACGTGTATATCGCCTGTAAAATACATTGTTTGTTAACCACAGTATTCGAACACGTGCTGCGCCATTTACTAGTAACCTTGCAAATTACTGTATCCGATGTTGGTACTGGATCGTTCACGGGAATATCGCTATAAATATACATAGCAACGAGGAACTGAGACATTCGGTGACGTGCCTATAAAACGTGGCAACACAATAAATAATGATGCTATACAAAACGGAGCAGAAAAGGCAGCTAGTTCATTTAGCGAAATAGGTGGTTGTTTGAAAATTCGCAAATCCACACGCGAGAGGTCAGGTCATCCGCGTATATATAATTTGTACGCGTTTGACTCGTGCCAGCCCTGGGAAGGACGTAGGTTGGTAACACACCGAAAAACTCGGGTGTATCTGACATCCAGCGAAACAGAAACAAGAGATTAAGAGAAGGGAAGAGAGAAAGAGGTGGTGTCTACATAATATGTATTAGTCCATTACACATTACACCAAACTCGCCTTATCTTAACGCGAATAACGACCTCGTTTAAAAAATGCCGATATTGTATCATGGTATATAGATACAATGTGCATAGCCAAGTACGTGTGTTATGACTATAGCATAAATAACACAACAGAGACAAATAAGGCAACACAGCTGACTCACAATATGAGCAGGGTAGTGGGGCGCACACCACGACTGTGCGTGAGGTATTCACAGAGCATAATACTAGTACCTCAGAGAAACACTAATTAAAGCATCAGCAACATGGATGTATGACGTCATGGAATGTTTAATAGAGTGAAGCAGTGCTCCCGGGAACAGTACGCCAAAATTGTAGACAATGATCTCTTTCTTTTCCTTGTTCGAAATAATGTTTATAAATATACTTCCAGCAATTCTACGTGTTTTACGTCACATCTCGTAAAAAAACACCCGTTTCGCTTCATGTTTTTTACGTGGCACCGCCGAAGTCTGCCGAACAAGACTACTGGATTATCAACATAGTGTTTGTGATAATTTTTACCCCGGTCGGAGACATGTAGAATGTACTTATTTTTTTAATTAACGGACACCACATTTCATGTACTGTGGCCACACCCACTCAACACAAAGAAAACGGACGAGACTAACAAGACATATTCTTCCGTATCCTTTGCGACTAGACTGGAATAAATAAAAAAATATGTCGCATTTAAACAAATCGTCGTTCAATGTACGTAAGACATCCTATATTATAATCACAAGTACAAACCTCAACAAGATTAGAAGAGTAATGAAGAGTAATAGAAATATAAAACACAGTTGAAAAAAAACAGCTTAGTTTCCAATGGTAAAGGAATGCCACGTACTAGCCAGATACGGAAGGGTATTTTTGATCCATATCTAAGCGAATCAAACAACATCAGCGCTGTTTATGAAGAACGAATGGCACATTCCACTATCATGAGTTAGGAAACGGTATAGGCGCGGCGACGGAAGAAAAACGATCACAGATAAAGGGACAAAACGACAAAAGAATCGTATTAAAACGACCAAACGCATTAATGCCGCACGCAATAATGTGACTCGTCTAAACTAGAATCCCTTGTGGAGGAACTGTGGTCTAACAAACCTGTGTTCGTCGATGAGAGTTGTACTTGCAGCTCGACGACTCGGGTCCAATTTTCCTGTGTTTGGTTCAACATTTAATCAGACTATAATGCCGTCAATGGCACGTGAATGAAATCGAGACAACGCTGCCTGTGCGTAGTTCATTCGCAGAGAAACAGAGCGAACCGAATGTACAATTCACCAGTACAGCGACCTCTGTCGCACTTCCGTCTCCCTGTCAACGTTGACACATTTTGACGTCATCTATAAGATCGATTACGCAGTGAACTTTGACCCAGTGGAAACTATTTGCGTTTCACTGGTATATCACGTGTACCGACTTTACTCGTTTAATTTCTGCCAGTTCAAAGTTTCCTGTTTAACATTAATGTTTATTAATACAGTACACGATACCACGTACTAGTATTTGATATTTATACACACCGTCAG